CTCGTTACTAAAACCTAAAACCGAAAAAAGGATTAATTTTTTTCTTCTTTCCCCCCTCCCCTCACGTGAATTAAAAAAAGGAGGAAAAAAAAGGGGGAAACTTACTAATCCTGATCTTCTATTGAGATCAATTCCTGGTGGTCCAAAACCATAAGTAAATAAAGAAATAAAAAGAATAACAACTTGTACGGTTGTAACCCAATAAGTAAAATAAGGTCTATAATCATCTAAATCATCCAGTTGTTCTTTAATACGTGCTTGATTGGACACCGATTTTTTCATTTTTCTCCTGTAATTTATTTTGATACGACATTTTGGTTAGTAAAACCTTTAAAATATACAAATATTTTCGTTAAAAAAGAAAAATTTTTACCCAAAAAGACGTCCTAATATTCCCATTCCATACTGTCGCCTGTTGGAATTATCAAATGCTCTACCCAAAAAGTTACTATCTATACGAGAACTTCCTACTTCTGGTCCGGCAGTACCTGGACTATCTCTTCCTCTCTGCCAACTTTGAGCTCTGAAAAAAATAAAATAAAAAGGTTTGAAATTAATTAAATTTTATTATGGAAGGAAATTATTCATGTAAAATATTTTACCTTTGATTACTACTTCTTGAAGGAATTTGAGCTTCCCTGATCGGATGTACAGTAAGGGCCTGATTTGAACTGCTTCCAAAATCACCTCCAGCTCTACTGTCTATTTCATCTTGTGCTGGAGATGCAACCGTTTCATCCCTTGAAGGTCTAGAAGCACTGAAAAATACTTCATTTGAAGATAATGACTGTGGTCTTTGAACTTGAGGCACCATTGGTACATCTGACGGAGCATAACTTCTTGACCAATGTCGTGATCTTTCTGGAGTTCTTGGTCTGCGGCGTGTTAAAGTCTTTAAAAAAAAAAAAACACATTTTCGAGTATAAATGTTTATTTTAACATTTAAAAAAATTTTTTTTATTTTTTTTTGAACTTTACAGTAACTAAATAAGCAATTCCACGATAAGTCATTTGGAAAACTGATGGTTTTTTGTAAGCTGATATATTTAGCCATTCTGAACCAGCATCAGTTTCATCTCTTTCATCAGGAAGAATATCTGGCCTAGATCCATAACCATCTCTCGACTGAAATCATAGAATTTTTATATAATAATAATAAATTTAAAAATCAATATTTAATAAGTGAAAAAGGAAATAGTTACCTGAGAATAAAGATAATTAAAAGAATCCCTGAAAGATCTAGGCAGAGGTATGTCATCCTTTAATGATCCATATTTCCTTAAGGCTAATCTTTTCCTTCTTTCGATCCATTTTTCTTGCTGAGCAGCTTCAATTCTTTCATTCACACCGAAAAAACTAATGGTTTCTTGCTTCATGTATCTTAAATATTAAATAAATGTATTTAGAATTAGATGTCATGTATGAAGATAATAATTTTTAAAATTTATTCAATGTTTTAATAAAATCGTTTAAATTATTAAGATGAATCATTAATATGTACTTACTTTTTAGCTTGTGAATATAATGACCTAGGTCTTGAATCAGATCTTGATTGATTTTGTCTGGTTGCTGATTCAGAGGAAGATGATTGCTCCATTTTAAGTAGATGACACCTTGGTTGTTCGCTTTTAGTTGGAGAACTAACATGACTAGATGCTGTAACAAGGAAATAAAATACCAAAAATTTATTTTAAAACAATTATGCAGTTGCAACATGTAACATAACACAAACTAAATAAATATTAATTAATGAAAACTATGTTAATAAAAAGAGAGTAATGTTTACTAATGTAATGAAAAAATAATTATTTCAAGGTAGATTTATATTGAATAAAATTTTTTTCACTAAAATTAAAAATTTATTTTGATAAAAAAGGAAGATTATACGCAAATACAAAAAAAAAAAAAAAATCTTTTTTAATATTGAATTTAACGCTGACGTTATTTTACAATTTAACAAATAATAAAATTATGCCAAATTAATTAATTTCGAAAACTTTGTTTAAATTATATGTGTGGCAAATAAATTTGTGGGGGAATTTTGTGTCGAATAAAACTAAAATTGTTTGTGTAAAATACGGATTATCAAGAGATTTTTTTCTTTTTAGAAATTGCGTTTACGTTTACAAACACTTAAAAAAAAAACAGACGCCATTGAAAATAAAACGATTACGATAATTATTTGAAAATTTATACCTTTTATTTATTTTTACAATTATTACGAAAACTTTAATATAACTAACTTAGTTTTTCATTTTAATTTTAATAATTAAATATATTGATTTGACTTTTAATTAAATAAATAAATAATAATAATTCAAAAATAAAAATAATTAATAAACATGTTTTTTTAATAATAACAAGACTCGGTTAATTGTTTTTCAAATAATTTATTTTTTAAAGAAGGCGGTGGATGAAATATTTCAAATATATCCGTTATTATGCTCGTGGTAGTAGTTTGGATTGTAAATAATAACGGTTTTAAAATCTAATATTATGGTTTATAAAATATAAAACTGAAAATTTTATTAATTGTACAAAAAAGTATTAATTTAAACCTATATATATTACAATTTATAACAAGTAATAATTTCATAGCATTGAGTTATGAATGTTGTCTTTAATTTCATAAAACTAAAAAACAGTTTCGTTTATCAAAGTGAAAAAATTATTTAAGAAAATAATAATAATAATAATAAAATACCCGGTTATTTTTTTTTTTTTTTTCATAACTTTTTCCTTTCTATTTTTTTTTTTTATAAAAAACTTCATCAAGTTTTTTTTTTTTTTTAATGATTTCTTTTGTCTTTATTTTTCTCAACGGTTTTTACATTTAAAAAATGATTTCTTCATCTTGGTTTATTTATTTATTTTTTTTTTGAAAAAGAAAACTTTTGTTTTAAATTCCTATTCAAGTACTTTATTAATCTTAAAAAAAGTTCTTTTGTAAAAAAAAATTTTTTTTTATTAAAAAGAAAGAGAAAAAAAAAATTATTTTTTAGGGGGTTTGCTTTGGAGACCATTAAAATTAATATAATAAAAATCAAATGAAGTTAATTTTTTTTTTTTTTTTAAATTTTCCCAACACGATCCTTTCAAATACGTTTGATCAAATCATTAAAACAATAAAAAAAATTGTTTGCATTTGACAAAAATTGAAAAAAAATTGGGCATTGAATTGTAAATGAATGATTATCAAATTCATTATCAATGTCAAATACATAATAATGTTATTCAAAGTTTAACAAAAAAAAAAAAAAAAAAGTTTGAATTTTGAAAAATTGACACAAATTTTACATATTTTCTCTCTCACACAATTGTCACTTTTTTTTTTTCTCCTACTTTTATTTTCTAAATTTTTTTTTTTTTTATGTCATAATGATAATGGATTTTATTGATTAGATTTTGAAATTTTTTTGGGTACTTTACAAACTGTTAGTTATTATTATTATTATTTTCCTCTTCAAGGTACCAATTTCTTACTTCTTTCATCATATAGTAGTACCAAATCACTTTTTCATTCATTCAACATTAAATAACAATAATAATAATTAAGGTTTTTTTTTAAAAATTATATTCATACCTGAATTTCTTCTTGCATCAAATACTTGTGATGAAGGTTGAGGTTGTGTGCAATAATTAGTGCTATGATTTGATGAAGATGAAAGTGAACTTTGAGCACTGATTGTTGTTGAATCTGTTCCAGGTGTTTGAGCTGAATTTCTAGAACTATCTGATGAAGATTGAATTGGAATATTTTGAGTGTTGCAAGTCCTCCTGATAAAAACAAAAAAAAAAAAAAATTAATTTTAATTGTTTCTCTCTGTTTTTATTATTATTATTAAAAACATGTCAATTGTAAATTTAATTACACCATTTTATATAATGCATCAAAATAATGCAGTTTGGAGTTAATTTGAATAAATTTCTTTATTTTTAAAATAAAATAAATATATATTTATGTAAAATAAAGGAAAAAGGATGTTTTGTAAAATATATATATATATATATATGTATAATTGATTATTTGAAAAGTTAAAGTAAAAAAAAAAAGTTGATGATAAGTTTGGTTTTTTTCTTTTTCTTTTTTTTAATTTAAATAAAATTGAAAATAAATGAATTTCTTTAATTAAATGAATTTAACCGGAGGGTAATTTTATTTCCTATAGTTTTAACCCTTAATTTTATTTAAACTTTAATGTTTTATTTTTTTTTCTCTCTCTCTCTCTCTCTCTCTCAAAAAAACATTTTGTTTTAAAACGAACGTGGTCAGAGTTTTTCTATTAGCTTAATTACTACCAAAAACTTTCTTTAAATTTTAATTATAATCAATGTAATTGCAATAAAAAAACGTTTTTTTTTTTTTTTTTTTAATGGTTTATTCATACACAAATACATAAAATTCAAAAAATCTTTAATTCAAATTTTTCTTCTTTATTTGATGAAAAAATCATATTTTATTATTATTATTATTATCTGAAATGAAGAAAATTGTTTTAAAATAATAATACTAATAATAATTACTTATTTTTGATATATTTTATTTTAAAAAAAAATTACCAAACAGTGAGTAGATTTTTTAAAATTGATTTCCTGTATACAAAAAAAAAAAAATACACATATATATAAATATATTTATTTTCAAGAAAAAGAAAAAAAACAACGTTGCCTTTTTTATTAATTTAATTCAATTTTATTTTATTTTTTTTCCTTTCGAAAATATAAATCGATATAAATTTTTTTTCTTCTTTTCCTTATATTCCATTCAAAAATTTTAAATAAAAAAAAAACAAAATACCAACGGTAATATTATATTTATACATTTGTGCGACAATTATCCCTTTCCCCACCGCGCTGTTGCCATTTTTCCCCATTTTATTTATGCATCGTGTAACGAACGTACACCTAACCCTATCAACATAAACAATTATTTAAAAATCAAACGTTTTTTTTTATTTATTTCTTTAAATTTTAATTAATAATTAATAAAATTAATTAAAAATTGATTTGAATTGATCGTAATTAACATTTATTAATAAATTCTAATGGTAAAAATACGAAAAAATCCTGATTAACTCCTTTTTTTCTTTCTTCCACATTCGTTATTATTACTATTATTTTGTAAAACGGAAATAAAAGGTGAAAATGTTACGTAAAACCGGAAATGAAATTATTTTAATTAATTTTTTTTTAAATAACTAAGGTTGTTTGTTACATTTTCCACTTTTATTATGAAAATTACGCGCACGTCAAAAAGTAAAGAAAAAATTTTTTTTATTATCAAATCCATTCGGTTAGTTTATTTATATATAAAAAGGAATTTTTTTTTTTTTTTTTATATTTTCAATAGGAAAAGTTATATTTAGTTTATATATAAATAAAAAAATTATTTATTCATAGAAAAATTATCTAAATGCAAAACATGTGCCATCAAAGTAAGAATATAAGATTAATGTTTTTTAAAAAAAAAATTTTTTTTTTTTTGAGGGATTACATGAAATAATTTTAAGGTTTAATGAAAAATGTGGTTTTTTGGGGTTTTTCTTTAACTCCCCATTATTTTCTATCTTTCTCTCTTTCTCTTTTATTATTTCCCTACTCATTTAGTTTTTATTTCATTTACCTTAATAAATCATTTTTAAAATTTCTTTTTTTTTTTTACAGGTGTAAGGAAAACCCCTTCCCCGAAAAAAAAACTTTTCCTTCTTCTTCTTTTTCAACGAAAAAAAATTTAAAATTCTTTTCTCCTTCTTTTTTTTTTTTTAAAGTAAAAGTTTAGTTTTTAAAAAAAAAAATTTTTCTATAAATTTAAAGAGAGAGAGAAAAAATAAATTCAATTTAATTTGTTCAAAACAAACGTTATATATAAAAAAAAAAAAAGAATGCAATTGAAACCTAACGTCCATTTTTTTTTTTTTTTTTTTTTTTTTATGACTAAAAGAAAAGAAAAATTTTTTGTTTTATTTTTAAAAGAGTGCAATGACCTTTCGAAACTTGATAACGTTTAAAAAAATATATATGATTTGATAACATGTCGAAATTAAATTATATTTATACGAAAATAATAATAATAATAATAAATTCTCTTAACGCGGAACGATTTTTAAATAAAAATTTTTTAAATTTCCCGCTAAAATTTCAATATCGATTAATTACGAAAAAAATCGAAACGATCACCACATTTTAAACTAATATTAATTACTAATAATAATAATAATAATAATTCCCCCCCGCCACGCCCCCCTTTTGTAATTTCATATTAAAATATTCTTGCTTAACGATCCCCTTTTTTTTCCTCCCCCCATATCGAATTAATCATCGTATCGGTATCGATATTATTGATTAATCGAACGATTTTTTTTGAGAATAATAATAATTATTATTATTATTATTTCGGTTTCCGAATCGGAAAAAAAAATTTTCCCTTAGCTTTTCTCCTCACCCTTTTTCCTTTAATCAAATTAAATTGGAAAAAAAAAATTTTTTATTTTTAACTTTTATAATCCTATTATAAAAATATTTTAAATAAAACGAATGAATAAAAATCAAAGGTTATTGATTGATTTTACAAAAAAAAAAAAAGGTTTGAATGGAAAA